GTGTGTGTGTGTGTGTGTGTGTGTGTGTGTGTGTGTGTGTGTGTGTGCATGCATAAAGGGCAGTTCTAAACTATAGCCTAATAAAATGAATTATCGCTTACCCAAAACACTTCTTTTTACTCCTACAAAAAAAAAGCTTTCTACTATCCCTGTGCATACACATAGGCTACATAACAAGTTGTCATGACGACAGGCGTCCTCACTGGCAGCCTACCTTGGATTGGCTCGGTGCCTCCGCTGATTGCAGCTCGGCAGCCCCAGGGTCTGCACCGCTGTTCTCAAACGACACTTTGATGGAGTTTTATTGCTGCTCCTTCCGCCTCTAAATCGTTCCTGCTGTCATCTTTATTTTGATTTATGTATTCCCTGATCTATTTATGCACGTAAAATAGGGGAGGAGAGAAGAGGTGGGGGAAATGGAGTGAGTTTGGGGGCAGGGTGGGGGGTATGAAGAGGAAGACAACGACAGCTACAATGCTTGGTACTATACCCAGGGGAACGCCTGTGGTACAGTTGCCTTTTAAAGTCTTCCGCAACAGACAAGCTAAGCGTAGCAGCAGAGCGCTACAAAACCTCGTTTGTGGCTCCCTAGACCCCCACCCCATCCCTCCTCCTGAGTCAATAGGCACTGTATGCATGTTCAGTACGCTCAGACAAAAGAGGTATTCTTTTAACTGTGCCCTCAGTCTCTGAAGAGGGTTAAACGGTGCTGCTCACTGTTGTGGGAATAACAAAATCAAAGGCGAGATGAAAAAAAAGCAAAGGGCGTTATTGCAGCATCAGAATCCTCTGCATACAGGAGTGATCAGGCCACAGCAGGGATTTCACAAAAGCTAAGCTTTCATGTGCTTTTGACTGTCTCTGTAACTGGCAGAGGCAAGCCTCTAGATAGTTCTGGGAGTACAGGTACAGAGGAACGAACCACACTCCTTCGGAAAGAAGGCGGGCTTCAAAGAATCCTTTCTCACAAAAAGATGATTTCTAAGTGAGATGCAAACCCTGTGGCAGCCCTCTCTCTAGAACAGTTATCAAATAGATCAGTGAAGGTCATTCTTTGGAAATACCTCAGACCTCTGTAACCCTAAGCAGTAGTACGGAGTACAGGAAGATCAATAGCCAAAAGAACACATCAGTAATTTATAAATCAGTCAATTAACCTTATTCTGTGTGAACAATGCCATAAGATGAAAAAAGTTACAAATCTAAATCTTATTACATTACTAAGGGAGTTCTTGAATTGCCTGTACATTTTACTGCTGGCAATCCAGTTATTTTCTAACAAATTCAAAACATCTTTTTTAGGTTTTCTGTCAAAGAATGATGTAATTTGGTACGGTCAATAGTAAAATACTAACTAAATTTACCTGTTGTTATTTCAGTTCTTAATGTGTGTTTGAAATTAATCAAGTGTGTAACAACTAAATTTGGTCTTCTTTCAGCCTTTCCCTCGTCAGGGGTCGCCACAGCAAGTCCTCCTCCATCTCACTCTGTCCTCTGCATCCTCTGTCCTCACTCCAACTACCTCCTTGTCTTCTCTAACTGCATCCATATTTCTCCTCTTTTGTCTTTTTCCTGGCAGCTGCATTTCTAACATATTTCTACCAATATACCCACTGTCCCTCCTCTGGACTCATCCAAACCATCTCAGTCTGGCCTCTCTAACTTTATCTCCCAGTTGTTCAACCTGTGCTGTACCTCAGATGATCTCATTCCTAATCTTATCCATCCTTGTCACTCCTATAATGAGAACCTCAGCATCTTAATTTCTGCCACTTCCAGTTCTTTCTCCTGTCTTTTTGTCCATGTCTCTGTCTCCAGACCATACAACAAAGCTGGTCTCACCACTGTCTTGTAAACTTTTCCTATGACATTTGCTGCCTCCGTTTTGTTGCAAATCACTCCTGAAACTTTTCTCCACCCACTCCATCCTGCCTGGACTGTTTTCACCTCTTTGCCACACTCCCCATTTTCCTGGACTCTGGACTCCAAGTACTTGAAGTCCTGCACCTTTGTGACCTCTGCTCCTTTTAGCCTCACTGTTCCACCGGCCTCCCTCTCATTCACACAAAACTATATGATGCAGCTAAATAAATTTCATACCTAAGTTTTCCTCATGTTTATGTGTTTCAATGAATTACATTGTTTTTTCTTCACCAAAAATCACAAAATTCTCTTCCTGCAATGCTGCACTAGTCTTCTTGATTCTGTCTGAGAGGGTTTTGGAGGGTTTCTACTTTACAAGTACTGAACATCTGTTTGTGGTAGTAGCTGAGCATCATCTCAAACTCATAAATAAAGTCATATCAGACTGCATGAGATCATTGTTTAAAACTTTGGCAAGGAAGGCATTGAAAGACAAGCATTTCTTCAATAAACTATTCTTTTTAAGGATTTATGGCAGTTTACATTTTAAAAGAAGCATTTGTATCATCTTCTGGAGTCAGCTACGTCTGTACTACATTGTCTTGTTTATTTTAACTTGTCTCTAATGGTTTTATTTTGTCTTGTCATGTTGTCCTATATTGCTTTTTTCTTTTGAGCTACTGTAATTTGTTGCTTTGTGTGCAGCACTTTGGCCAACAGCAGTTTTTCTTAAATGTGATATATAAATAAAATTTGATTTGATAGAATTAGATTCAATGCACATGTAACAAGAAAAAAGTTCCCACAGAATGATAGCACCATCACTATGCTTGACTGTAGCAAAAGTATTATAGGTGCTCAGTGGTTTCCTCCAAATATGCAGCTGTTAGCAAACTCCCATTATGTCGTCACATGCTTTAAAATAAGTTGTTCTGCTTGGTCACTTCACCTTAAAGCCCTCAAGTAGTGTTGTGCTACCCTTTTTGCAAACAAGCTCTAGGTTTTAACTGTAGTATACATTGGTTGCTGGAATATTGAGTAACAACAATGCTTCATCCTCAAGTACCGGTAGTCGTTTTTTTTGTTTTAACTCAACATGAATTACTGGTACTGTACCGGATTGACAAGAAATGAAAAGATAAAATACATTTTGATATGTGAAATATGTGGTTAAAAAAATAAATAAAATGCACTTGTCAGGTTGACAAGTGTGTTGACTGCGTGTATTTGAGTATGTGTGTCACTGTGAGCACCTGTGATATTGTGCTTGAAGAAACTGGAACTCATCCTTGATCCTGTCACAGGAGTCAGAGGTTGTGAATTTCAGCTGCTGCGATGAGGCCTGCCAAAAAGATTAAACGAGAAGAAACACAAAAAAAGAAACTAAGAATCAAATGCACAAAAAGTGAAGTTTTCATTTAGAAAAGAAAGCTTGGTGTAGAAAATATAAAAAAATTAATAAACAACTAGCTGTTCCTATGTGGCAACAGTAGAACAAGTATTGTATATCCTGTCTTAGAATCTGGGTACCAATTCCATGAATATATTTTTAACACTGATCAATCACAGCTATGATGTCAGTGATGTCAGTGCTTAGGGTATTTTTAGTTTACGGTTTTCTTAGTACATATCTTAGACCTTATTACTGTTTTTCTTTTACGTTTTATTGTGGGATGTAACTGGGACCCTGTGTACATAATGTACATGTACTACATGTGGTGTGAACGACAAAGAAACTCTGACTCTCTGACTCTGATACATGTCCAGTTGTACACTACTCTCACAAGAGTAAGCTGAACTTTTGCATTTTATAGTGAAACTTGATTCTGTGGACCTGTAGCAAAAAAAAAAAAGGTCCAAATATGTTCTACATATACATACATATATACATATATACATTAGGGCTGAAACGATTCCTCGAATCATTCGAGGACCTCAATTACAAAACATCCTCAAGGCAAATGTATCTGCCTTGAAGCTTCGTTAAACTATTCAGAGCACTGTGGTCTAGCCGGAAGGTTTTTGTGTTACACAATGCTAGCGCTTCCACTAGCACTTCCGCTAACGCGTATGTGCTAAGTTTGTAACTATGGAGGGAACAGAGACTGCGTAGAAGAAGAGCCCCAAAAACAACAAAAACTCAAAAGTTTGGGAACATGTTAGGCTAAACAGAAAAGACAACACAGCTCAATGCTTCCACTGCAAAGCAGAACTGAAGTAACCACAACAGCACATCATCGATGTTGCAGCGTCTGAAAACACCTGCTGTAGCATCAAACTTGTCCACAGCTGTAACAGGTATCATGTTCTCTGTGCAAAATACGTTCACCTAAATGTGTGATAATCTGTCATGTTATAGATGTAAAATGAGGCTTATTTTTACTAACGTTAAATCTACTGACTAATCATTGTGGCTACCTGGCAGGGTCTGTACGTTGTGTGAGGAAAAAAAAAAACTGCAGGACTTGATGCAAGTTTATTAAAGATAAAAGCACAAACAGACTGACACATTTATTTATTGCTGTACTTCCATCCTGACAAATTAGCTATTTAGGGTGAATATTTCAAGTGTAAATGTATTTAAACGAGTTAGTAGGATTTTTTTTTCTTCTTGCTGCCGTTTATGACTGAAAACTGTGTTTGATCTGCATTTATTACTACTGTCATATTTGTTTATAGCTAATCAATCAAGACTAAATAATAATACACTCTGCAGAAAATGTACAAACTCAAACTGTACATTATCAATCTTACTCAGTTTCTAACATAAAGATTCCATTCAGTTTTCCAATCCATAAAAAATTATAGCATTTAGATTTTTATGTGATGGGTTAAAAATAATTGAGTGACAGAGTTTTAATTAAATCATCCTCAAACCTCACACATAAATAAAAGTATAAATCAAATACAACTGACATACTAATGTTACTTTGATTGCAGCAGGTCATCAGAAAGTGCAGATTACTTAACAATATTACATAATTTTATAATATCCAGTGAAGTACACTTGAAAATTTATTAAGGAATAACAATGAAACAATTTTATTCTTCTTCTTTTCAGTAAATGGCAGAGTCATACGTTGGACAGCTTCGTAAAAAGGGCTCCAGGATGTTGGTTGTGCAGCAGCTGAGTTCACAAGCAGCATTTTAAATATGATCATCACAGACATGCAGCTGCTGTCCGTGGTGGAAGATGAAGGATCCAGAAGATCATGTCCACCTTCAATCCAAATGATGCCCTTCCTTCCAGATCCTACTTTGTAAATTCCATTCAGTTTTCCAATCCATAAAAATTATTTTACAGCATTTAGATTTTTATGTGATGTTTAAAAATAATTCAACTTAAGCAATAAAATATTTTAAAAAGAGGAATTAAATGGGTTGTTTATTTAATGTTTTATACCACTCATAAAATGAGTACGGTAGTTACTGCAGAGCCTGACTAATTTTGTTTCCGATTATCCGATTAATCGTCAGAATAATCTATAGATTACCCGATTACTAAAATATTATTTTACAACAGCCCTAATATACATATGTATATATGTATATATATATATATATACACATACATATATACGTATATATACGTGTTTCAGCGCGGCGCTATTATCTTGCAGCACGTGCAGGATTAGCATTAGCTTCTCGTTGCAGTCTCCTGTTTGGGAACATTATGTCTTTCTGGTTAAAAGACAAGTGAACAAATCACAAGTTGTGTGTCGATGATTTTTCACAGAGATTGAATCTGCAGCAGGCAACACACATCTAACTTGTTAATGCACTTGAAACGACATCATCCAAACGTGAACGTCTCTTCTAGCAGCTTGGTTGGTGCAAAGACTGACAACAGCAGCATTTAAACAACCTTTATCGGGTAATTCAGATCGGTCCAGAGCAATAACACAAGCTGTAGGAAGTTTTAAAGCTCTGGATCTACGTTTCTGTTGTTGATGCGCCGGCTTTAAAGTTATTGAGCCCCGCTCTGACATCCCATCACATCAACACTTCAACCAAAAAGTTGTAGCAGCACTTTATGAAAAAGCTCAAACTGACTGTCAAAAAGCCCTGGACCAAATTAAAGCCCTGCCTTGCTGATGATTATGAGATTCAACCACCTCATAACAGAAATGATGGCCGCTCAAGAAGAAGTATTGTTATTTTATTATTATTATTATATAATAAACTTTTTTTATTTTATTAATATTATCCTATCAACTCTTTTTTTTTTTTACCTCTGTTTTATTTCCAGTCTGGGACAGAGATAACAGCTGCAAGTCTTCTTCCTCTTCAGGGAAATCAGAAATTACCTTCAGCTAAGAAGTCTGTGATGACTGAACTCTGAACTTTTCCAGTGACCTGTCCCACCTGTGGGACAGGTCCAAGAGGCTGTGAGTAATGAGGCCAAATACAGCCACACTGCAAAATTAGCAAAGCTCTAACTCTTTATTCCGGCTACTGTTGTTAGTGAGCGGTTTTCTCCACCGCTGGAGATATTCACTGCAACTAGATCTGTGCCTTTGGCAGAAAATGTGGACAAGTTGGTCTTTTTGGTCAAAAACTTAAAACTTGATTAGTTAGATTGTAAACAGTCTGTTGCTGCTTATTGTTCTGGTTCTGACTGTTATTCAATTCAAATTCAATTCAATTCAAATATACTTTATTAATCCCAGAGGGGAATTATTTGTTGTAGTAACTCGTTATCCTCATTTCATTAAGAGATGTTAAAGATACTGATGGCTATAGACAGGAAGGATCTCTTGTAAAGGTCCATCCCACAGTGGATCCTAATAAACTGGCTGCAGATGCCGTCCGAGCCGTCCACCCAGACTCAGCTGGCCTCTCGGTTCCCCCGGGCTGTAGGACTACCCGAATGCTGGGCAGAACTCCTCCCAGAGCGATAGCCACGCCTCCCAGCAGTCTGCCGAGCTCCTCGTCACTGCGGACAGCCAACTGTAGGTGTATTGTATTTATTAAGTTTTTTATTATTATTAGTAGAGTTTATTTATTTATTTTATTTTAAATTTTCATCCAAATGGGTCGATTTTATTTATTTTTATACAAACGTATTTTTTACTTGGCATATTTTCAAAATAAATGTTTTGCAAGTCTTTATTTTGGCCTTTTTTTTTTTT